CGCAACTCACTTATTAACTTGCTTTTGAACTTGGCTCCACTGTAAGGGTGCAAATGATAAGATGAGCCCCGTCTCGCCACTCAAGCGTCAGCGATAGCTTTTTCTACGCTCCATGCGTCTGTTTTCCAGGTGACACGATTCGCGCCACTTGGTGAAGTAGTCCGCCATCATCAAAACGTAACGACTCACCCTGGCGGTCTCTATTAGGAGACCAATGATATAGGTGCCGACCGGTTGTTTCGCAAACTTTGCCGTCATTAGCTGTAGGGGTTCACGGCGATTTGTTGACGGGTTCTTGGTCAGCGCACTATCGGTACATGACTGGCGGTAAGTTGCACTATTTTGTCTTAAGCATGTATACGAAAACCAACAACAACTTGTCTCTTCCAACGTATTTTCCCTGGCCAGCCAGAGTTTCTCATGCTTCCTTCGCAGTGCTTTCTGGGTTGCCGTCGCCGGAACGCTTAAGTTATACAGATACACAGGTCCATTCTGGAAATGTATAATGCTACCAGCTACGCGTAATTGAGACAAGAGGGGCTAAAATAATCTTTGTTTCATTGCAACTGGCTTCCATTTGACTTGTGATAACGTGGTGCTCTCGTCCATCCGAGCCACCGCCGTTCACATCTCCTCACCACTTGTTGGATGCACGTGTGGCCTTACATTCTTATGCTTATCAGCTTACGGGTTCATCGTTCCTGTACTTTAGTTTCTTTTCTCTATCTAACTTACCCTGGTATCACTGCTGACCGTTGAGACACCTCCTAGCCACTCTAAATGCTGTCTCATTTTCCCAAGCCATCATCTATCGTGTGAGGCCGTTGTGCACACGGCCATCCGCCTCCCAACCGTTCTTAGCACCTTACGATTTGCTGGATGCTTTCTGGACCATTTATTCTTATCACTATCTGCTTCCGGACACCGAAGGTTGCTGTACGCTTGGTTCTTGCTTCCCTCTGTTTGACTGCATTGCGACTGACAAGCCACGATGCGCCACCCAGCCTCTGTCTCACTGTCGTTTTATTCAAAGCAGCTTTAATGTAGCTTGTGAAGCAGTACTGCTTGGCGTCATCAAACATACCGCTGTTGTCTTTTGTCTACCACTTGCTGAATACACTTTAGGCCCTACATTCTGGTCATCGATTGCTGGAATTGTACTTCCTTGTCTGCTTTCTTCTTTCTTTCCTTTGTTTGAACTTGAAGTTACCCTCTCCTTCAACCCATCAATCAGAGCTAGTCCTCCTGCTGCCCAATAACCACATACACTCCACAAATACTTTGAAAGGTAAGGCAAACACAATCCTGTTTGCCCTCAGCCTTTTCGCATTAATTACTGCGTTCCGTTGCACTTTGCTATCCCCCATTCATGTTCCAAAACTCAGCGTTTTATTCACATGCGCTTATTTTCAATAAGAGTATCAGCAATGGCTTGCATAATTCTGCACTTAACCGTTTTGTAACACCGCACATACCCAGTTTTTACGGTAACAATTATTCATGGTGCAACCTTTTCAACAATTCGTCATCTGTCCTGTCCTGTTGCAATCTATAAACCATTGCTTTTCAAAACCATTTCTGTCTTGCTGGCGGTTTGGCCTCTTTCTGTCCGTTGCGAGTTTTCCCGAGAATTACGGTCACATCGGTTGGCACCTTATGATCTGTGCAATCACTCCGACTGGGCCTTACTCAGCGGTTCTAACCCTTAATGTCATGGGACTCACGCTTCGCTCACCGGATATGAACCTAAGATTATGTTAAGGATGTCATATATTACTATTACGGATGATTATCTGTTTGCCAACCTGGACAGTTGTCACTCTACAGGCCCCATCGCTTCACAACTCAGTTTCACATACTATATACTTGGATGGATAGAGATGTCGTTTTTTCTGGAAAAGATTGATCATCACATAAAGTCAAAGGCATCAACCCTACCTGCTCTCCACTCCTAATTCCATTCCCTACCGCCATGCAAACAAGTGTGAACCATGCTCAGAAGAACTGCATTTCTTTACAGCAACTAGCACATTCTGAGTATGCAACCAGAAACGATTGTTCTAAAATATTACACTCAACATGTGCGCAAACAGCAACCTAGCGAAACCTTGCCGGAGGTTGGCTTCTAACAGCGCATTTGGTTCTTTGATTTTTCTGCAAACCAGCGCCACCTCGTAGTTTGACATCAAGGCTATCCGACAGGTTTCCATATGAAAAAGTGAGCAAATCTTCATTCCTACCTTTCCAATATCTCACCTGTACCATGCCCGGACGTTTGTTTCCATCTGTTCATAACAGCACAATTTATTTATTTAACTTGCACCGGTAAGCTATTAGCTTGTGAGTCTGTCTTAGCCTGGTGAGATGGGACTGTATTGCCTGCTCAGCTTAAGTTCCCTTGGCTGCTCCAAGCCGATTCCTCGGACGCTGTGGCACCAAGAATGGCAGCGGATATTCATTCCGTCTTACATGGCGGACACGGTCTATGATTTCTGTTGGACCTACGCGACACCGTTTCAGTGTTTGCAAACATTACGCCAAGGCGGTGCTTACACTGTAACTCATTTTTTGATGCTTCTCTTGCCATCGCGCCGTCTCCTCTTCGGGACCACAGAAGTTGCGTAATGGAATTAAATATTGGTGATCAGTTAGTACGATGAAACTGCAACTTAGTTGATGTTGCCACAACTGCTTGATGTAATGCACCAAAGTTGGCATTCCTTTCTGCGCTGTGCAGTAATGTTTGTTGTCCCTTTGACAAACCTCTGTGTTATGATATTACGGCGAAAATATCAGGTTGTTAATAATGTTGCCGGAAGACGGCAATGTGTCCGGAAATTTCAAAACTAGGGCTTGGCATAAAGCAGCTAGCAGATTCTCGACAAATAGCTGAGGAAAGTCCTCCTAGATAAAAGTTTTATCTCTTGTCAACCTAACATTTAGATGTACAGGGATGGTAGCGAAGCAGCGTACGAATCGCTTGAAGTATGCGGCGCTACCGAGAATGCTGCGCACATCGTTGGTATTTTCAGGGGTTGGCCAGGAGCGGGTGCGCTGGATTTTCACTGTGTCGCAAGCCGTCTAACTTCAGATGTAAGGGGACATGGGTAAGCCACATGTTTTTTATGGACATGGCAGTTGTAGGGCTTCGGTTTTATCCTGAGTTGCACAAGCCGATCCGATATGAGAGAGTCTTTTGTTGTGATTCTATTCCATTTTACTATGAATGTTAATATCGTCCAGGTAGACTAGTGATGTCGCAATATAAGTCTAGAAAGGGCGGCCTGCGTCAAGTGTTGAAAGGTTGCCGGCGCGTTAATTAGCCCGAATGGCGCTGTCTGGAATTCGTACAGGCCAAGTTGGATGATAAACGCAGACGTGCATCGCGATTTTGGGCGCAGCACCATCTGCCGATAGCCCAAAGCCAGATCAAGGGTGGTGAACCATGGTGACCTAAAAACGGCATTCATGGTATCATGCTTACTTATTAATGAAAACGAGTCCTTAAGTGTGACTGCGTTCATCTTACGATAATCGGCGCAGAGCCGTAATTCTCCGGTTTTTTACTAGGACGACGGATGATTCTCAGGGTAATTTGGAAAACCGGCTAATCTCAGGCCTTAATATGTCCTTGATAATGCATCTCAACATTTCCTGGAAATTAATCTGCAAACCTCTTACCGTTTGGCGTGTTGACGACGCGTTATCGATGTCGATGCGGTGCTGCGCAATGTTATACCGACCTAGTTCATCCTCGTTCCACGCTAACTCGTCTTTGTGTTTGTCTGATATGTTTTCAAAACCACTGTGGACCAGAGTCGGAGCATCCTCAAGGTTGTTATAGAATAATTTTCCGTTTCCGTGCCCCCTTTACTGCGCAGTGTAACATCGGCTAGTCATATGAGATGAACGGCATCAACTGCGCGTTGGTCTCAAGGGTTTGTATGCCTAAGGCAACCTTAGCCATGTAGTGAGAAAGACAATTGACGCCTAGCAGGACGTCCCAAGGTAAACTCTTGACTAGGAAACAATGGTGGGCAGCTAATGTCTTTCCTAACTCGAGCTTGGCCGCCGTCAAGCTGGCTGGTTTTATGGGGGTTGTACCAACGTCACTAAGCCTAAACTAAGTACGTCGTACGAAAACCAAACTAAAAACTACGAACAGATAAACCTAGACTTAACGCACGGTCTGGGCAGAAGAACAAAACGTATTATCCTGTAACCGTGGTTCTATAAGGCATAATAAATACAGTACATGACTTACGAATAGGTTTCGCAATCGTAATGCAAGTGGGCAGAAACTGTCCAGCGTGGGGCGGATCGAGTATTCGGGCAGTGTCACAGTAACATAATAATAAGAATGGCCTTGAAACCTCAAGGATGTGTCAGTGATGGAGTGTAAGAAATAAATATGCGATATGTTAACCGCTTGTAAAACACAGAAAAGCAGTGTAAATGTGCAAGATAATCAGGGAAAAGTGATACCGTGTCCTCAGGTAAGCAATCCAGTTTGGGGATACGTCAAAGTTCCTTTTGGACTTTACAGGGGTCCTATTAGCTGCATCACGACTGATAAATCTATCTTGCCGGACGGCTGCGTCCCTTGGGACTATCTTCCTATGAACTAACGAGCAGGTGACATCAGTACGCACTAACTTTTTGGTGAGTATATCTCGCCTAAAAATAAACATTAGGGAAGAGGCCGTATGGTGATAACCGGAAACGGCGGAAATCCTACACGAACACATCAGACTTACTCCGTCGATTGTGTCCGCTCGTCTAGGTCGCTTTTCTGTAAGGACTACAGTACGGACAGACGTGTCGCGGGCGGTTACCTGTTTCGGCTGCTCTGCGGCGGGCTGGTGACGTGGGGAAAGGTCACCTGCGTGTTGGGGTCCATTAAACGGTCTCGGCTTCTACCGATAACGTGCCTCTGCTACCAGCCGTACATAGCTCTCTTCCAGGAGTTGAAGTTTAACAGTTAGGATTCCTCGAATGAATTATTGTTCTGCGGTAGTCTGTTTGGTTTCTTTCAGCCCTTTGGTGGCCTCTTCAAGAACTATATCCAATTCAGACCTGTGAAAATACTGTGTGCTTCCGGGCCGCGGCACTATGGTTTCGGAAGGCGAGAGTGGTGTGATGTCGTAGAACAGCGGCGAAGTTGGCCAAGGGTACGCCAGCTCGTTGTCGCTGTAGATGGAGTTGCCGAACGTACTCAAAATGGTAGACAGTTGTTTTTCATGTAAGGCACGGAACTGTGCACAAGTATCTTCTTCCACGCGACCTGCGTCTAGGGCGGCTGAGCCCACCATCCCGTACGTGTCAGTGCGTAAGTGGTGTAAAAATTATGGTAGAGTGTTCTTCTTTGAGCAACGACGTAAGTAACAGCGCGCATCGCGCTCTCAGCGATCAGAACCATCGCACAGACGACACTTTTCTGGTGGTGGTGTGTCCTTGGTGCCTCCACCGCTAGATGCCCAAGGTGGATGACAGGGCTCAGGAGGTTATTTATCATCGTAATTACTCGAGCGAAAGTAGACGACTGCTCTTTGTGGAACTACAAACTATTCACCGAATTCTCCACGCTAGCAGCAGGGACTACTGATCACCTTCGGCTTGATCAGCGCATAAATGGGTGTCATACCTGTAAGCTGTGTTCCAGTTAGGAAGAACTGGCATGGTCGTCAAATATGTAATATACCACCGGTCAAGGATTCCCGGTTCCTCCACGTCTTTTGTGTACGACCGTTCGTAAGACAGCGGTGGGGCTGCAAGGCAAAACAGATGCCTCCTAGGCGGTTGGATTCCATTGTCTCAACCACCTGGTACGAACCGAATTAGTAGAAAGATCTACGTTTGCTGACTGAAGAGTAGGCAGTGTGCGCAAGCAAGACAGAAAGCGGTGAATTGGGTTGTACCTAAGGTCCTTCGAATCGGAAAAGGGAAAATAGGTACAGGAATACCAGTGGTTCAATGGTAAGTCGCCTTCCACTTCTTGCTCGTTTAGCCCCGAATGATCCATCGTCGCTACCCATTCTATAACAGAAGAAAATAATGGCATACTTTTTGTGTTCACCACAGTCAGCGGACCATTCAGCTAAGTATCAGTCCGGAGAAGCGCCATACGGCAGTTTCGCTTTATGAATTCTTCAAGGCTATGTCGGTTCATGGCCGCCGTAATCAGGAAATCTTGTCGTCGGAAGGCCAACAGCTGCCAGATACATAGCAGGTGCCTGCATGGCAGGGGAGGAAGGGTCGGCCTATATCGAATTTAGCCAAAAGTTCATGACGGCCGGCTACCGTCTCCCATGGCTCGATGGCATAACCTGCGGGCTGTGCACTAATGATGTGCCAAAATAGGGCTAAACTGCCGGCGGGTGCATTCCCGGACTGTTAGTTTACTTATGCGAATTGTCGGCTGATTATGAAGAACACAGCAAATCGTACTAATACCCTTCTACCCTTAAGTAATACTAGCATGTATGTGTGTGTGTGTCGTATGAATGCCTTTATACAAGTTTCACGAATTATTTTTAGCCGGTCGGCGGGCATTCTTGTAACACATTGAAAGTAAGCGGTGGGCGAGTATAGCTACTAGTGCCATCGTTGCTTCCTGTAACAAATGGCTATCTCCTGGACTGTTTATCTTGCACCTTTCCATGCATATTTTGCTATCCTTAGTGGGGCCTTTTGGAAGGGGTTGTGATATGAACACATAATCGCTTGTTATGTAAGAATTTCCTGTCAACCCCCAAGGGTCCATCACCATTCATTTTACGAGTTGGAGAAGGAAGAATTAGGAACACAGGTTGGGGGAGTATTGCATCGCTGTGTAATTGATTGTCTAGGTGCCGGTGATTGGAATTTGTAAGTTAAACTGTGTTTTCTGTTCTACCAATGAACACAGATACGTTATTGCAATATAATGAGGTGGGACTTCTTACAAATAGAAATAAGTCAATAAAGAAGTAGTATATTCCATACATCGCGATGCACGTATGCACGAGCATACTTATTTATTTACAGTAGTATTAGCACGATTGTCAGACAAGTCTACAATCATATTGCAAGAGTAGTAGTAGCGTACTGGATCTATGTGATGTGTATATGCAGATATGTCAGTGTGAATGTGTGCAGCTCTGTTGCTTGCTTCTGTAAATGCGCCGTCGCCGTTGTGAATGTGTTCCGTCGGGTAGTTTTCGTTAATAGTTTGAAGGAGTATCTAGGTACTGGATGGCTGGCGTCTGTGAAGTTAATAGGATCATGTGAAGGCGTAAGAGGCGGTGATTTCATTTAATAGCTTCGAAGTGCTGGTAGACAAACGTTTCTGTTTCTATAAGAACTTTTGCCAAGTGAAAACCCACTACGTACTTAAACGCTGCCGCCGAACCATTCGCTAGAAAGATTAACCAATGCCACACAGCTGGCACCATGAGGAGGTAGTTTGGCGTGCTAGCCATGTGACATAGGTTTATGGGCGGATAGCTGTAATATTTTTTACAAATAATTATGGCTTCATAATGATGTTCACTTTCATAAAACACTTGGGATACGCCAGATTGCATAAAGGATGAGAGGCATCAAACTTTAATCCTGATAAAGATCTTTACCCTTTATTGCTGCCCACCCGACTTCTCAACTTACAAGAACCGCAAACCGGAAGCTTCCCACGTGTACATTTATGATGTGAATATAAAGGCAAACACATGCATACAGATTTCCACGTGCATAATTATAATTATAAACCTTGATATTTGTTGGTTTGAGGATATCTGTGCAGTGTGGGAAAGCCCATTTATATATATATATATATATATATATATATATATATATATATATATATATATATATATATACTGATGTATCCTATCTAATAAAGATAACTTTTTAAAGAAAAGCAGGTAGAAAGTACGCCATGTATGGTTTGCGGTATCCGGTAAAGGTTTGCCCACCACGGGCCACCGTGTGGCTAGTCGAAATACCTCATGTGGCCAGCTGTGTGGTTCATGTTTGCATCATTCCAGTAAATAGTTTGGAGGAATTGTTCCTGGCCGTGTTTGGCTTTTGCCTGGCTAGCGTTCTTGCAAAATAAAGCCACAACTATCTGCTTGTTGACACTACGACGTGGCTGTTGTAACTCGCCACAAACTAAGGTCACAACCCCGTGAAAATCCGGGTAATCATATCCAACACACGGACAGCAATTTTCTACTTATACATTGCGGACGCTATTAGAGTTACAAATGCGGAAGCACATTTGCAAACAAAGGTTACGCAGCCGCACACATGCACAACTAGTTAGCGACATCCAGTTCCGGATTTGCCTGTCACTGTGGCCTCCATAGGACAGACACAGGAGGCTTGCGTCTACAAAGGCCCCATTGGTGGCTGACGCTTCACCATCCCTACATCCATATCCACTGTAAACCCGAGGGAATAATACCAGGAAGCATGTGTATGGGAGCCACGTTTAATCAACGGAGCTCATCCACACTGCTTCGACATACAAGTAACAGCAATATTCCTGTCTAGCTATGTAGGAAATCTTGCGTACCAAACATGCACCAGGCGGGGACTGCGATTTAGTCCATTCCATACTGAATGGAAATACACGTTGAGCCTAGCACGACCACGTGAACCGTACACCTCTTCCCCTAGCAATGATACGCAATCGCCTGGAGCATTAGTCAAGGTGGATGTGTTAGAAAGGTAGGCATTCGGTCAACCTACACATCAAGTGCAGCCACATTGAGGATATCAAACAACAGACATAGGAGTTAAGGGAAAGCTAACACACAAAATTGACACAAAAGTTGCAGCATAATAACAGAATTGAACAAGGCAAATAAACTGGAATAACTTTTATCCGGATTAAAAAAGGTTGTTTAAGTGTATTTCAATTTCTCCCGGCGGCGGTGTAGAGGTTTCATGTATGCGACGTACACGACTACATACGAGATCTGTGGCCTTCTCTTGAGCTGCGTCACCAAATCTCTTCTGCAATCACAATTAGCGGGCAGAGTCCGGAGTTGCTTATATGAACCCATACCGGTCGAGTCTGATGTGCCGTAAGGCTCAGTTCCAGGTCCACGAGTTTTGGTATCCATCAATGACTTTGCACGGAAAGTCTGTTCAAGGATCCTGATGTTTGCTGATGGTGTCAAGACATGGCTACGGATTCAGGAGGATACCGAACAGAATTTACTTCAGTTTGACCTGGATATGGTACACGCGTGGCCAACACGAAATCCTTTACCTTCCTTCGTGGACAAATACTAAGTACTGTCCATACTGCAACAGAGTACCCATTGCTACAAGATTGGAGCGCAAGTACTGCAGCGATCATCTGTCGAACGCGAACTTTGCTTGCTGGTTCAGAAACACGTGGTTTGTTCCAAGCAATCGCACAGGTGTTGAAAACTTGTAACCAGCAAGTCAGCTTGCTACGACGGGCGCTCGGATAATTAGACACCTCTATTGTCAGACCTCCGTTGTCAGATGTTTATGTTTGCTCCCATGTCGAAGACGCAATTCGGGCCTGGCAGCTTTGACTGATGCACGACCTTACTGTACCGGACCAACCTCAAGGTCTGGCTTCAGTATACCTCTTTGGAAGGCGCCATCTTGCATACGGGCAGAAGGTAAAGCGTTTAGGATTATTCAGCGGGTAAAATCGCCGACTGAACTGCTAATTGTTTATGGTGTACCTCCTTTTACACAATCCAAATAATGTGTCGCTATCCACTGCAACTTAACAGTAACACCAAACTTAGAGGCCACTCCTCAAATTAGCAATACAGCACAGCCGTTTGGTGTGCCCTAGAAATACTTTCCGTTCTTGTATGTCAAGCATGGAACGATCTCCCTTAATCGATTATTTCTGCACCTACGCTAGCCATAGTTAAACGTTGACTGGACGACGCACTCTGCCAATTACATGTTGCTACGTGACGCTACTCTCCATCCTACACCCGGGAAATAAATTGGATTTATCTTTTACGCCTATTTGGAGCTAAGGGAACAGTCGGAGTGCAGGGCTACTACATCACATACAATAAGTCCACTGTTTTGACAGTTTAACTAATGAAAGCAGTCGTTGTTCTTCGTGATTAGCTTTTCCGATAGCCTATCAGACTACCCTGTGGCGCTTGTAAATCAATGCTTCTTAACCCGGGAAATGTTATAGTTTATTGATATATATATATATATATATATATATATATATATATATATATATATATGGTTGGCGGCATCCGGTTTCGGATTTGCCTGTCACTGTGGCCAGCCACAGGACGCCTGCGCCTACAGAGGG